GGTGCACCCCAAAACACCCCGAGCCCCGACTGTGGGGCACAGGGGACACCGTGAGGAGGATGAGGAGGGTCTGAGGCTGAAGGAGCGCGGTGAGGGTGAGGCTGGGGAGGGTGGGGCAGTTTTGGGGTGTCCAAAAGAAGCTGAGTGTGGACAGGGACAATTTTGGGGTGTCCAGGAAGAGGCAGGGGCTGGGCAGGGGCAGTTTTGGGGTACCCAGGAAGAGCCTGAATCTGGCAGGGGCAGTTTTGGGGTGTCCAGAACCCTCTGGAAAATGCCTGAATCCAGACAGGGAAACTCAAGGTGTCCAGGAAGAGGCTGAGTGTGGACAGGAGCAATTTTGGGGACTCCGGGTCTGGCAGGAGCAGTTTTGGGGTGTCCAGGAAGAGGCCAAATGTGGGCAGGGGCAGTTTTGGGGTGTCCAGGTCTGTCAGGGGCAGTTTTGGGGTGTCCAAGAAGAGCCTGGTACCCCCTAGGAGGGAGATTCGGGGTATCCAGGAAGAGTTTGGGGCTGGATAGGGGCAGTTTTGGGGTGTCCAGGAAGAGCCTGGGCCCCCTGGGAGGGAGATTTAGGATGTCCAGAAAGAGTTTGGGGCTGGGCAGGGGCAGTTTTGGGTTTTCCAAATCTGACAGGGGTCAGTTTTGGGGTGTCCAGGTCTAGCAGGGGCAGTTTTGGGGTGACCAGGAAGAGCCTGGGACCCCCTGGGAAGGAGATTTGGGGTATCCAGGAAGAGTTTGGGGCTGGATAGGGGCAGTTTTGGGGTGTCCAAATCTGACAGGGGCAGTTTTGTGGTGCCCAGGTCTAGCAGGGACAGTTTTGGGGTGTCCAGGAAGAGCCTGGGACCCCCTGGGAAGGAGATTTGGGGTATCCAGGAAGAGCTTCGGCCCCCTTGGGGGGAGATTTGGGTTATCCAGGAAGCAGCCGGAGCCTGGCCAGGGATGATTGAGCCNGGGCAGTTTTGGGGTGACCAGGAAGAGGCTGAGGCAGTTTTCGGGTGTCCAAAAGAGGCTGAGTGTGAACAGGGACAGTTTTGGGGTGCCCAGGAAGAGCTTAGGGCTGGACAGGAGCAGTTTTGGGGTGTTCAGGAAGAGGCTGGGGCCGGACAGGGGCAGTTTTGGGGTGCCTGGGAAGAAGCTGAGAGTGAGCAGGGTGAGTTTTAGGGTGTCCAGGTCTGTCAGGGGCAGTTTTGGGGTGACCAGGAAGAGGCTGGACACCCCTGGGAGGGAGATTTGGGATGTCCAGGAAGAGTTTGGGGCTGGGTAGGAGCAGTTTTGGGGTGACCAGGAAGAGTCTGAGTCTGACTGAGGCAGTTTTGGGGTGTCCAAAAGAGGCTGAGTGTGGACAGGAGCAGTTTTGGGGACTCTGGGTCTGCCAGGAGCAGTTTTGGGGTGTCCAGGAAGAGTTTGGGCTCCCTGAGAGGGTGATTTGCTGTATCCAGGAAGCAGCCGGAGCCTGGCCAGGGATGATTGAGCCGAATTTAACCCCGAACCCCGGCCAGGAAACCCGTGAGGGTGAGGCGGGGGGGGTCTCTGTGTCACCCCAAAACCGGAGCCACCCATTTTTGGGACAGAGGGAAGGAAAGGGGCCCCCAAAACGCCCCGGAGCAGCCCAGGATGGCCCCGCTGGCGCCGCTTCCGCAGCCCTTCCCCCCCGTTTCCTGTAGGGCCGATGTCCCCAACGCCCCAGGACCACCGGCCACACCGGGTCCTGTTTGGGACCGTCACCCCCAGACAGCCCGGGGACCCCAAAATCACCCCACAGCCCCCCCATAAACCCTGCGGGGCGTTTCGGGTGGAAAAACCCCAAAATCGGAGAAGCCAAAGTGACATTTTTGGGAGATGTCACCGTCCAAAACCTCGGAGAAACAATGGCGCTGACCCAAAAAACCCCAAAAAAACCCAAAATCCCCGCCCTCCGAGCACCCAAAGGTGCCGGGCGGTGCCGTTCGGGCCGCCCCGCGGGAAAGAAGGACAAACCCAGCCAAAGCTGGGATTTTGGGTGGAAATGCAACATTTTGRTGAGTCCCCCAGCRCTATTATTTTKTTGAGGAAAACGGTGAATTTTTGGGTGTAAACGCATCCCCCCCCACCCTAAACCCTGTGGGTGCACCCCAAAACACCCCGAGCCCCGACTGTGGGGCACAGGGGACACCGTGAGGAGGATGAGGAGGGTCTGAGGCTGAAGGAGCGCGGTGAGG